GTCTCTGGGCGGTGGCACACACCTATAATCCCACCAGCTCAGGAAGCTAAGACAGGAGGATTGTGAGTTCAAAGTTCGCCTCAGCAATGGTGAGGCTGTAAGCAACTCAGTAGGACCCTGTCTCAAAATTAAATACAAAATAGGGTTGGGGATGTGTGCTCAGTGGTCGAGTGTCCCTGAATTCAATCCCCACTACCCCCAAAAAATAAAAAAAGAATATTACGGGGCTGGGGTGGTGGCTCAGTGGTAGAGCGCTTGCCTAGCATACATGAGACACTGGGTTCGATCCTCGGCACCACATAAAAACAAACTAATGTATCCACCTAAAATTAAAGATACATAAATAAATATTTTTTAAAAAGAAGAATATTGGGCTGGGGATGTGGCTCAAGCGGTAGCGTGCTCACCTGGCGTGCGTGCGGCCTGGGTTCGATCCTCAGCACCACATACCAACAAAGATGTTGTGTCCGCCGAGAACTAAAAAATAAATATTAAAAAAAAAAATTCTCTCTCCTCTCCTCTCTCACTCTCTGTTTAAAAAAAAAATTTAAAAAGAATATTAGGATCTAGGGGTATAGCTCAGAATAGAATTCCTACTGAACATGCACAAGGCCCTGATTCTATATTCGGCACTGAAACAGAGAAAAGAAGAATATCAGTATTATTTGGAAGCTTACTGAATATTTAACTTTTTATACTTAAAAGTCTTAGTCATTTTTGAGGGTTTTGCTTTGCTTTGTTGCTTTGTTTTGTTTTGCAGTACTGAGGATTAAACTTGAAGGGCACTGCCACTGTGTAACCCTGTTTATTTTATTTTTGGGACATGGTCTCACTAAGTTGCCAAGGCTGAGCTCAAACTTGGCCTCTTGAATCACTGGGATTATATACATGCACCATTGTGCCTGGCTGCCGTTCTTGAGGTTTTATTGAGATTGTAGAATTTACCTTACAGAAAATTAACAACGAGTAAAAGAAGGAAGCTGGGCATGGTGCTGCACACCTGTAATCTCAGCTACTTGGGAGATTATAGAGGCCAGCCTGGGCAATTTAGTGAGACTGGGGGATAGCTAATAGCTAGAGTGTTGGCTTGGCATGAGTGAGACACTGAGTTCAATCCCCAGTGCTGTTTTTAAAAAAAAAAAAAAGAATCATAAAAGGTAGGGGGAGATACACATTGATAGTTGACTTCTCTTTTAAATAAGAAAGTATGGGGGGCTGGGGATGTGGCTCAAGCAGTAGCACGCTCGCCTGGCATGCGTGCGGCCCAGGTTCGATCCTCAGCACCACATACAAAGATGTTGTGTCCACTGAAAATTAAAAAAAAAATTCTCTTAAAAAAAAAAAAAAAAAGTATGGGGCTGGAGTGTAGCTCAGTAGTAGAGCACTTGCCTAGCACATGTGAGGCACTGGGTTCAATCCTTAGCACCACATAAAAACAAAATATTGTATCCATCTACAACTAAAAAATAAAAATTTAAAAAAATGATTTTTAGCCAGGTGTGGTGACAAACATCTGTAATCCCAGTGACTCGGGAGGCTGAGGCAGAAGGATCCCAAGTTCAAGGCCAGCCCCTGCAATTTAGCAAGACCTTCTCTCAAAAAATAAAGAAGGGGTAGGGATATAGCTTAGTGGTAGAGCACTCCTAGGTTCAATCCCTAGTACCACAAAAAAATAGAGTTTATATTATATCTAAGATGAAATTACTATTTATCTAATTTAAATACCTTTTATTTTTTTCAATTTACATGGTACTTGAAAGAGATTGCACCTTATGTTGCATCATTTTTATTGCAGATACATGGGTGGTAAGGTTAAATAGCTGTGGTCTGAAAATGGACTTAGTTATTCTGTTCATGGTGAAAGTGTGTTGACATATGTATGTTCTTGGCTTTATACACTAGGCGGTTAGTAACAGGCTGGTGTTGCAGAGGGAAACAAACACCTTGGCCGGACAGCCACAGCCGCCGCCTCCTCCAAAGTGGCCTGGAATGATCTCAAGTGAGCAGTTGAGCTTGGAACTGCATCAAGTGGAAAGGGAAATTGGGAAGAGAACCCGGGAACTAAGTATGGTGAGTGTTATGATGAGAAAGAAGAGGGAAAGTGAAATGAAACTTGTGTGGTGCGTCACATGACTGTAGAGTTCTTGAATCATCTGGAGCTCGTCTAAGGCATTCTAATGAGTAGAATAATTCTCATGAAGATGAGCTTCTGCTTATGTTGGATCCTTCCTCTCCTTACTCTCATTTGGTTTGGATGTATTCTTTGTTGTAGGATTCTTTAGGGAAAACATGATGATTAATTAGGAATTCTTAAATTTCTGTTTAAAATATCAATAGGGAAGGAGATGAGATGATATTTACTATTTTGCATTGTGTTATATAAAGATATATTTACCAAGTAACATTCTAGTTTTGATAGCCTTTGAGTTTTTTTTTTTTTAAGTATTTTTTTTTTAGTTGTAGTTGTACACAATACCCCTATTTTGTTTTTATGTTGTGCTGAGGATCGAACCCAGTGCCTCACACGTGCAAGGCAGGCACTCTTCCACTGCTACAGCTCCAGCCCCCAGCCTTTAAGTTATTGATGACCTATTTTTGTGAGTGAGATGCAGTTCACATGTGACTTTTCCATGTTAGCTTTGATGCATTTTCCCCTATGGCCAAGCATTAATTCCTAACAAAGTTTTTTACTGTGTTGTCGTCTTTGTTTTAATTTATATTAAATATAGCCTTATGTTTTAAGTGATAAAAGTAATATATTCTAGTTTTTTGGTGCTAGGGATTAAATCCATAGCAAACAGGTAGGTTGCACCCATTACACTTTGGTGTGTGTTTTTCTTCTAGTTTGCCTGCTTCTTTGTTCTTTTATAAAACTAAATGTGGGGGCTGGGGTTGTGGCTCAGTGGTAGAGTGCTTGCCTAGCACACGTGAGGCACTGGGTTCGATTCTAAGCACCACATACAAATAAATAAAATAAAGGTCCATCAACAACTAAAAAGTATTTTTTTAAAAATGTAATTTCTGGATCATCGGTTTGTATCATCTGTATTAATCTTTCCCATTAGCACCATTAAATACAAGATAACTTGCTTTTGTTTCCTTCTCTTTCAAAGGAGAACCAGTGTTCTCTGGACATGAAAACCAAATTGAATACAAGTAAGCAAGCAGAAAATGGACAACCAGAACCACAAAACAAGGTTCCAGCTGAGGACCTTACATTGACATTCAGGTAAAGAAGGGGACATTTTCATAGTCTTATTAAACAAAAAAATATACAAAAGAAAAATAATGCCGCCTATAATCCCAGCTACTTGGGAAGCTGAGGCAAGAGGAATTTGCCAAGGTCCTGACTCAGAATAAAAAACCAATAAGAGCTCAGTGGTATAGTACCTCTGGGTTCAATCCTCAATATGGCCAAAAGAAAATATTATGTTATGTGGTCATACCAGAATAACCTTTATAAATCTTTTGGTTTGGGCTGGAGTTGTGGCTCAGTGGTAGAGTGCTCGCCTAGCACGTGTGAGGCCCTGAGTTTGATCCTCAGCACAACATAAAAATAAATAAGTGTGTGTCCATCTACAACTAAAAAAAAAAAATAGAATATATATTAAGAAAATCTTTTGGTTTGTTTAGAGTTTTGTTTTGTTTTGTTTTTTGGCACCAAGGATTAAACCCAGGGGTACTTAACCACTGAGCCATGTCCCCAGCTCTAAATAAGTTTCTTAGGGCCTCGCTAAATTGCTGAGGTTGCCTTTGAACCCACAATCCTCTTGCCTCAGCCTCTGGGATTACAGGCGTGAGCCACCATGCCCAGCTAATGTTTTGATTTTTCAAATAATATTATTTTATGTATATTCAGAGCAGAATATTTTTATATTAATCTAGGAGTTATAGAATTTAGACTCAGGGTTGAATTATCTATTAATTCCTAACAAAGTTTCTTACTTTGTTATCTTCTTCTCTTTATTTTAATTTATATTAAATATAGCCTTATTTTTAAATGATAAAAATAATATATTCTAGTTTTTTGGTGCCGGGGATTAAATCCAGAGCCTCATGCATAATATTTGCACACTTTAACCCTAAGCTACATCCTTAACACCACTTCTTACATTAAATATGTTATAAAAAAAGTTGTAAGAAATTGAGTTTTAAATCAAGATAACTTTTTATTTTATTAATTTGTTCTTTTTAGATATACATGACAGTAGAGTGTATTTTGGCATATGAAAACATACATGGAGTATAGCTTATTCTAACTAGGATCCTATTCTTGTGGTTGTACATGATGCAGTTATCCCGGTCGTGTATTCAAATATAAGGCTAGGAAAGTTATATCAGATTAATTCTACTGTTCTCCTATTCCCCGCCCCCCAAGATAAATTTTAAAATCCTGTGTGGTGGGGCATGGTGGTACACTCCTATAATCCCAGTAACTAAGGAGACTAAGGTATAGGAGCATTGCAAGTTTGAGGTCAAGCTGGGCAGTGTATCAAGATCCTGTCTCAGAATTTAAAAAGACTGTGTCTTAGTGCTTGCCTAGCTTGTATGAGGTCTGGGTTCAGTCCCCAGTCCTGAAAAAAAAATTATTTTTTAAATATATATCACCTATAATCCCAACACCCAGAGTTAAACGATGTTAAAATTTTTCCTATCTTTTAAAGTGTTGGGAGTGTTTAGCCTGTTGTTTTTGCAAATCTACCGACCTACAACCCTGCCCTCTAGGTTTTGATTGATCTGTCCTATTCATATCCTGTTACAGCTATGGAAAATATATATCAACTATCCTGAATAATCCTGCAATAAATAAGGTTGAAATTAATTGCATACCTTTAATTATTTTATTAGGCTACTTTGAGTCTTTTTGAATGCATAGTCCTGAATTGACCTTCTGATGACAGCAAGAATTTCTAATACCCTGTTCATTCTTGGCTTTTGGCTATCTTAAATCCATGTGTTATCTTAGATTGAAAAGTATTTCTTAGGGCTAGGCATATATTCCAGTAGTTAGTGCTTGCTTTGGGCTTGATCCTCAGCACTGCAAAAATAATAATCTATACTAGTAAACTCGCTAAATCAGAAGTCAGCACTTTTTCTACAAGACCATTTGGTTTAACATTTTAAGGTATGGGCTTTATAGTTTTTGTTGCAACTTCTAACTTTGCTCTTAATATTAGCAGACAATGTATAAATACATGAGCCGGCTATATTCCAGTAAAATTTTATTTACAATCAGGAAGCTACCTACTTTTATTTTGCCAAACCTATATTAAAACATGAATGAAGAGCTTTAAATTAAAATTTGGAATCCATTTATATATTTTTCTATGGTATTCAATGATGACCCTGATGATTTTATTCTACTAAATAATTGATTTTTTTTTCCTCTGCTTTTTAAAAATTGTAACTCCTTTTTTTTTTTTTTAATGTTAACAGTGATATACCGAATGGATCAGCCTTGACACAAGAGAATATCAGCCTCCTGTCAAACAAGACCAGCTCTCTGAACCTATCAGAGGACCCAGAGGGAGGAGGAGATAACAATGACTCCCAGAGATCCGGAGTTACTCCCAGTTCTGCTCCCTAAAACATGAGAAATCCTAATATTCTCTTCTGCTCCTAATCAATTTGTGGAGCATAAGGGTAGAAGAATGAATGACTTCTAAATGTGTTCTCTCTAAGAGTGATCAGAGAAATCCAGGAAAAGCACCAGAGGCAATGTGCACAAACACCACTACTAAAAACAAACCCTGCACATAGTTCACATTAACGCATTTTTTTTTAATTTAAAGAAAAAGAAAATTAGCAGTATCTGCAAGCAATTCAGATTAAATTTGTTTTTGTTCTGTGAATGAACTTTATTTTAATAACTTTGGACGCCTTGGATCCAGGGCTTTAAAAAAAGATGATGATATTATATATACACTCTGTTTGATTAATTGTATGATCTTAATGAAGTAGGTTTTTCTTGTATTTTGGTATTATTACATACCCAGTGTATAATTCCTTACCTCCAGTCCTTTCCAACTCTCACCACTCCTTAAACTAAAACAGACAAAAAGCACTAGCGTTTCTTAGAATTCTGTGGTGCTTGAGAAACAGAGACAATAGACTGAGTTACTAGAAAATGTGCAGCAAACTAAATTTCTCAGACCTTGTTATTTAGAATTTTTTCCTTTTTGGATCACTAGGTTCATGGATAAAAAAATGTTTTTTGCTATGACATTAAAACGTTTGTTGTTAACCAACCATTTAGAAGGGTTTTATTTTCAACTTTTAAGAATGAAAATTAACAACTAAATGTTTTAGCTCCCTGTTAAGGATCCTTTGCATTCTCTTAATGTAATCAGAAAGGCAATTCAGTGTGTCCTTTTTGATGAGATTTAAATGAAGATTAAGAGTGAAATGTAATTTGTTAGCACTAAAAATACACAATTAGTATATTAGCTATTGAGCTCATGGTTGGGAATTTGAAGCTTTTTTTTTTTTTTATTAAACTTTGCTAAAATCAGAATGCTCAAAAAACAGGACAATCATCCATGTTTTAAAATTAACACTTTATTTGAACTTAAACAGGGACACCTTTTTTCAGTAAATGAAATATGGACACATTATTTCTTTTACTCTCAAAACTTACAAAAGCATAAAATAAAACCCGTGTACTGGAGCCCTTGGATTTCAAAAAAGATTTGGCAGATATAAAACTGCCTGAATCTTAAGGGTGGTTTGTGAATTGATCACTGGTTGCTATCCCAAATTATTAGCATAAATAAGTAGTAAATATTTTGAAATCAATTTTCATAGATTTGGATTCCAGCCTTGATAAACTTTGTTCAAGAAAATTTTGCAAAGAGGAAGAATTTTTTTTTTAATTTTTAGTTCTGCTGCACATATTCTGATACCCTGAGTCTATACTTAACCCCTATAAAGCATGTTTTGTGGGGATTATTTCACTCTCTCTGTCCACTGTTTGCCTGATATTTTTAGTTTCCCTTTTTGGATTATACTACTAAATCAGAAAGCACTGGTTATGTAATAAGTTACTGCATTGCTTTGGTTGGGTAAAAGCAAAAGTTTATATTTTTCTTGTTTCTTATATTCTTAACCCTTAACTCCTGCTGAGGTCATAACAGCCTCAGACTAAGCTCTGTGTCCATTATATTATTAACTGAAACAAATGGGGGTGGGTGGGAAGGGTAATACAGTCCTGCCATTGCCTACCAGTAGGAGAGTCCAAACCGAACACTCTTTTGAGTAGCGATTATTTAATTTGCCCAGTCAAGGCACCGTGTTTATATACTATTTCACATTGAATTTGATTATGCCCTACAGACCTGGCTGGTCAAGGATTTGATATACACATTTGGCTTGGGATTCGAGCTTTCTTTTTTATTTAAATAAAAATTTATATATATATATTATATATATACATATATACATAGCTATATCTGTATATATATTGGGTATGTTTTAAGGATTTCTTCGCATGAGCGCAGCTGTTGCGATAAAATGACTGATTGGGAGGTAGAAGCACTGAACGAAGGTGAGGCATTTTTTCAGTTGATACATTTCCTTTTTTTAAAAAAAATACATTCATACATTTGCTTTTTTTGACCTTTTTTTTTTAAAAAAAAACCCTATTATATTTACACTTTAAGTACTTATTGTTTATTGGGAGAAGGAAAGAAACTTTTGTTATGTCTGACAGTCTTAAGAATTTTCATTTCTTTATATAAAAGCCAACATTATTTGCCTCCAACCTTCTGTAGGCAAATTTGGACATATCTTATTTCTCCTTTGGACATGTCAGATAATTCCTAAGTTTTAGAAGCAGTTGGTTTATTTTGGAAGTTGGAATGATTCTGCTATTAGAAAAGAATTTATGGGTAATGATTTTGTTGAGGTTAGGAATAAAAGTAAAGTAGTTCCATTCCCCTAATAACTCAAATTCTTTCATTCTTGTTCTTATTTTCTCTGTATACACTAATGCCTTTTTTAAAAATGTATTTTCATTTGGGGGCAAAAAAAAAAAAGTCTTTTCTGGCATGAATTCTAGCTATAGCCCTTCCTGTCCCCACACTCTAGAGGCAGTCTGCTTGGATAGAAAAGCAGAATGTAGACCATCTTCTTGTTCAGTTGTTTTAAATTGGCCATCCTGCCTTACCTGCTGGAAACTGTTACAGCTTTCCTAGTGCCCTCCAACAGGTTTGGGAATTTATTAAAACCCCTAAACTTGGGGGGGGGGGACATTTTGTTGTTGTTTTTCTCTTGGATATACTTTGTGTTATGAGGAGCCAGTAAAGGTAAATGGCCTATTAGGGCATAACCACTTGACTCTGGAACCGCTTTTTTATCAAAATCTAAAAAGCATTGATTTTTTTTCCTGGCTTTTTAAATTTATTTGTGCCTTTAGAGACATTAGAAGTGAAACCAATCAGGTAAGAAATATAGTTTTTTTGTGCTTCCTTTTAAACATGAGTTTCTTCTGGAGATGATCTTGTGCTTTTCAAAAGCAAGTCTTGGAAATCTCAAATGAACTCCATCAACAGTTCTGAAAGGGTTAAGATAGAGTAATGAGCATTGTGTTCACTCTTGTTTAGATAACAAAGTTAGATTTTATTATAATGAGGAATAGAAAAAGTGTTTTGGATTATTTTTTCAAGGGGTTTTTGGAAAAGTGTAGAAGAATTGAGAATAAGATGTCCAGGATCAGTTTCCTGTCTTACATGTAGTGTTTTTTTTTGTTTTTTTTTTTTAATTTATAGATATTGTCAAAAGGTAGGTCTAATAGATGCCCTTTTTTGGCTAATGTACAGAGCCTAAAGTGACCAAAGATCTATTCTTTATTTTCTAATTGAGAAGAAGTTAGTTCCTAGTAGTAATATTACTCAAATGATAATGACACTATTCTTAATGTCAACTACTCAGAATGTATAGAAATTGGTTTGGTACAGCATTAATGTGGGTGATTCCCTTCTCCCATCTTATTTCCCTTCCCTTTTCCTACTTTTCCATGTATTTATTCGTTTGCCTGAAAGATAACAAATTGATATGATTCTTATTTGCTACTTTGAGTATGTAACTCCATCAGATTTTGCATGGGTCCCCATTGTTGGAGCTCAAAATTTAATTCCTAAGTTTTCCCATGAATCTTTTGTTTTTTTCCCCTGACCCTTGTTCATTCTGCAGTTTCCCCTTGACTTACCCACTGCCCTTCCCAATCTGTAACAGTGACAGTTTGCTGCCTCAAAACAGAGCATTCAAATGAATTCGCTTAGCCAATAACTTCTGTGAAGTTGCCTTTTCTAATGGTGTTATTACTCAGTGATGCACAAATGTGGTATTTGCCCTACTGGTAGGCAAACAGAGATCTGGTTAAGAATGGTAACCTGCTGTTTTCTTTAAGGGAGAGCCAAAGACTTGTGCTTTACTGTTTTGGTTTGGGGGGATGTAGTAGCCATTTTGATTGTGAAACCTTTTAGTATTTGTGAATTGACTGTACTGTGTAGATTTATCTAAAGTTAACTGTTAAAGTTAGCTGGCCTTATAAAATGTAAAAAAGTAATGGAAATTCATCATTTTTTTCTAAACCAGTGAATGTCTGCTTTTACAATATTGAGTAAGCAACCACCTGCCTTTTTTGAGACTATCTTATAATAGCATCTCCCATGGTTTTGTTTTTTCACTTGTGCCTGAAGGATGATACACTCTCAGGATGGTCAGGTCATGGAACTGGGTAATCTTCCTGAGTATCTGGCTAATGAGAAATAATTAATTGTAGTCAGATTCAGAGAAAAATAAGATTCTTTTCACTAAAGAGGATTCATTTGCTTTTACATATATATAATATGTTATATATATGTATACACCCATGGTGGTGGATGGAAGTCTCGCTATCTTTTTTCTACTTTTGTTCATTTTAAAGAACTGAGTAAAGGCTTCATAGATATCTGTAAAAACCACCTATAATGATATTTCATTAGGAGAAATGGCCCAGTTACTTTTAGAAGAAATTAATAACTTGTCTGAAAATTAACTGCAGTGTTCACTTAAACCTTTACCTTAAAAATAGTCCTAGTTTATTAAAATTTTAATTGATACATGGTTACAGTGTTGTAAAGTGATCTCTTCCCCTGGAAGTTAAAATCAGAGCTGCCAAATTAAAAACAGATTGGATTCAGCTTTGGGGACTAAACAGACAAACTGTCTACTGCTGGTGTCATTGTCCCTCATGCCCTCTGGCTGATCCACATCTACATTTCTACCTTGGACAGCTTTTATTTTTATATTTATTGTTGCTTCAGCTCAGCTTTATGAAATTTTTCTGCTGAAATGACTTATTGGGAATTGTAGATGAATTGCAGTTAATTTTTTTTAATTCTCAATTCCTCTTTTCTGAGCCACTTAAAGCTGTTTTGTCAAAAGGTACTATTTACTATGGTAAATAACTTAAGATTTGAAGTTTTAAGATTTTTGTTTTTGTGACTGCTAAAAGTCTTTTCACAGTAAATTCTAATTAATAAGTAATACTAGCTATAATGTTAATTAAGAATAAGAAACTGCCAACACCAGGAATAAGTGACACCTTTTATTAATCAGTAATGTTCCCAATAGGTGGGTTTTCAATACTGCACTGAGCAGAGTGGGTCCAGAGCCCTTTGCAACCATGTTGTGGTCGCAGGGTTACCTCACTACTGGAACCCTGGTTTTCAGAGCCTCAGAGTTTTCAGCCAAACACTGAATTTCCCCTAAATTTTGTCCTGAGCAAAACATCCCTAAAGTAATATTTATTTTCACTAGAAATTAAGGCACAACAACCCAAGGTGGAAAACTTAAACCTGTAGACAATATTGTGTCTAAAATGTGTGTTTAGAGAAATAAAATCCTGTGGAGTTTGTTATCCTAATGTATGTTTATTATATACTAGATAACGTGACTTGTTTTCTTATATTGAAGTTCCACTGTCTCTGGCTTTTCTTTGGTTTTGTGTTCTTGTTTTTGTTTTTGTTTTTTTTTTTAACTCTAAGCAGACAGAGCTCACAAGTCTTTGGCATCCGTTTTAGGTTGTACACTCAGAGTTGTCTTATAACTGGAAACTGTCAGGTGGGGCATGTGAGAGGGTCAAAAAAGGGTGGGAACAAATAGTGGGTTGATAATTGGTTGGGTGGTTGGTTTTTTTGTTTTGTTTTTTTGGCCTGGGTTTTTAAAAAATTAAAGATGTTTTAGTGTTACCTCTCCTCATTATTGGTTGCCTTTCTCACAATAATATCTGATTTAGCCCATAAAATATTCCTTTGATTTAAAGGCATTTTAAGCTTTTTTGCCTCTAATATTTACCTTTCTCTGTTCAGTTGAAACACTATCTTCAGACTACTTTTTTCAGATGTTGCCTGAGTGTTCATATTTACCCCTTTTTCATCCTTTGTCTTTTTCCCACATTTTGGAAATGAATGGGACTTGAAGAAAAAAAATTTCTTTCATTTTATTTATTGGTCATGGACTTTATTAGCTTTATGATGAATCTATGACTTGGAAACATGAACATTGGAAAAAGTGAATTAAGATAATGAACAAAAACCTTTCACCCACTTAAACATTTTCCAGTTGTCAGATTCCTCATGATGTGTGTGGTCTCTTCCCATTGCCCCCTGCAGCCCTTTTTTCTCTGCTCAATTGGTCTTTAGGCTCATACCAGTCTCCCAGAGACATTCTGCAGTCATTATCACCTTTTTGGGTGGATTTTATTTTGTTTTGTTTTTTAAAAAAAAAAATAATAATAACTTTTTAACATTGATGCATATTTGCTTGGGATAGAGCTTGTGTAATTTACCAATCGTATTGATTGTATGTGATTGTGCCCTGCAGAGGTATACTTAACAAGACAAAAATAATCTAGGTGAATAAAGGAGCCCTTGAGATTTGAGTCAGGTTATAAGAGATTTAATAAAATCACTTAGAATTTTGGATAGTAAGAATTCTTTCTCTTATTCTTATAAATCAGTGTTAGATAAAATGTCATTTTTTAAAGGTTTTTCTTGCATTCCTAGGTTTGTTTGGTTTGAGGTTTTTGGGTTTTTTTGCCTGTCTCTACCCACCTGTTCAGAAATTTTTAAAAATTTAGTGTTCAGCCTTAAAGTGACAGCTGATTTTTAATTGCTGAATTTTGTGAAATTTTACTTTTTCCAAATGTTTTCAATTTTTTAAAAAGTGAAAATAGACAATGGGTTGGGATTTCACAAGCTGTGAATAATTCCGTAGCATCTGGCAAACTGTGAAATCTTGTTCGAAGGCTTTGTAATGACTTATCTGAAAGTTCTTTTGGAATGGGGGGGGCAGGGAATCTTGTTTGAAATGGACCATTTCCTCTCTTTTTAGTATTCCTAATTTTTAAGCAGCCTTCAGAACAAATAAAAAAAAGAAATGATAGGACTATGTTTAGAGCAGCAAAACTCTGACTGAATAAGTACAAGTTCTACTTTTTGCAGATTTGAGAGGATTAGGGCCATCTTTTTCTATTTTCTATTATTTGTGTGCATGTTGTTTGTATCAAGATGCCACATTTTGTTAAAATGCTATTTCCTTTCTTTATTACCTTAGAAACTGACTCAGCCTCTTGTTGCTCCTGATTAGTGTTTAAGGCTCCCATGAGTTGCAGATAAAAGGATTTATTTTAACCAGTAGAAGGAGGTGATTCACCATTTGGATTGTAAATATACGAACGTGTCTACGAGGTCTTTATCTGCTTTCTGTCAGCATTTATATTAAATGATAAATTAATGAGTAATGTGTAGTCTGTTTTGTAAATGAGTCTGTGTCGTCTTATTCAATCATTGAGGTTATACTCTTAACACCGTTTGGGGGAAGTGTTTTGTAGATGAAAAATAAATAAATGGCTAATTTCCACAAGCACACACACACACTTGCACATCCCCCTTTGTGTGGATTTCATGAGAACGGGTCCACTGTTAAATATGCTGTCGTCCAGATTCCTTTATTTGATGCACAGTGGTTCTGAGACACAGGACCAGTATTCAGTGAGACTGTAGCTGACATCCAGCACGTTGGTTTTTATGCCTTCTCATCAGGACCATTTTTGTCCTAAAGCAAAATGGTCTTGTTCTGGGTATCTTCATGAGGCAAAATATATGTCTTTTCATTCTTAATGACTTCCTAATTTTTTTTAATTCCCTGCCCACTAGTCATTCCTGGCAGAGAATAAATGTAAGTTTATAGCCATGAGACCATATATATCAGGCAGCATCTCAAGAGCATAAAGGGAAAAAATGGGAGAAGGGATTATTAATCTATCACTGAGCCATATCGCTACCCCTGACATATTTATAGTTAGGGAAATTTGACCAAGTATTGGATATTAGGTGAATGGTGGTTTTGTTTAATATAATAATAGCAACATGGTTACTAAAGAAAATAATCCACATTTTTTTTTTTGAAGCAAGAACTGACAATGGCTGGAGTTTCCTTTAAAATAACTATTTTTAAGGAGCTGGAGTTGTAGCTCATCAGTAGAGCGCTTGCTTCACACATGTTGGTTCTCGGCACCATATAAAAATAAGTAAATAAAGGTCCATCAACAACTAAATAAATATTTTTTTTTAAATAACAGACATCATTACCAGTGAAGGTTATAAACCTTACCATCAATTAGCAATTAAGTATCCAGTGGTGTCACATCTGACCTTGAGAGAAGAGGCCAGAGTAAAGAAAGTTGTTCATAGGAGATGGTAACTGCTGCAGCATCCCTTAACGGTTATAAAAATCCAGAGTGGGAACTGCAAAACCAGACCTGCTGTCTTTTTGCACTTACCTAGGCCTATCCTGCTCACAAGCAGTGCACTTTCTGACCTCTTAGCTAACACATAGGCTAGTATGGACTTGCAATCCCAGTGCCCAGCAATCTGCAGTGATTAGCTAGTATAAACTTCTGCTTACCATCATGTTGGCTCATAGCACAAATGGCTACCACCCTTTTTTGGAATAACTAGCATATAAAAGTGAATTTATCAACTACTCCTCAAATACTTCAGTAGTCCTAATTTATTGAGTATTCTGCATGTGCATAACAATATAGAAAATAAAGAGAAGATCGTAGAACTTTTTAACATTTATGTGGTGCTGAGGATTGAACCCAGGGCCTCATATATGCTAGGCGAGCACTCCACAACCCCAGCCCAAGTACACAGTTTTAAAATAGTGGCAGAGAAGTAAGTTACTCAACCTTTGCCATTCTCAGAAAAGTAAGGATCCCTGAGACTATACAAGGAAGAACTCGCCTGCCTGGTCAGCTGTAAGTTGTCTTGAAGGTAAGAATGGTGGGGCAGGGAGAGTGGATATTGGAGGCAAGACTCCTAGTGAGAAGAAAAAGGATGTATGAATTCTGAAGGAAGAAAGGGGCCGAGTTGAAGAAACTTTCATGTCATTGCAGCTACAGAAGGCCCAAGTGGCTTGAGAGAAGGCAGAGCCAGATCATGGAGGCCCTTAGATCATGCTAAAATGTTGGTTTGAATTTATTCTGAAGGTAAAGGAAATGCAAGGAAGGGTGGTAAGCAGGGGAACAAACGAACTAGGTATGTGCCTGTTTACACAATCCTTCAAGAGACTCTGCATCAGTTCCTCAAACCTCCGTGTGCATGCTGTTCATCGGGGGTCTCCGTGGGTCTGCAAGGTGGAGGCTGGCTGCTGAGGCTATCATGCTGCAGGTGGTGCCAGTGCTGTATTTGGTGGGTAGTAAGGTTCAATGTGATGGGTAATTTTAGAAGCAGAAAGATCCTGTTTCTGCCTATCAGAGACTTCAATTACAATAAAGTGAGTGATATATAAGACAATTAGCACTACCTGGAGACTGTTCAAAGGGAAAGGAACTGGAGGAGCAAGGTGATTGAGGAGTTTTTACATCTGAAGGGCGGGGGTCTGAAACAGTTTACATGATGGGGTGGTAATGCCAGGGGAGTATGGGAATATATGTACAGTCAAAAGAATGTGGTCCTTTTATGGAACTTAAAGGAATTAGGTCTATCTTTAAAAATAGATCAAGGCTGGAGCTCAGCAGTAGAGTGCTTGCCTAGCATGTGCAAGGCACTGGTTTGATCCCCAGCACCATATAAAAATAAATAAAATAAAGGTATTTTGTCCAATTACAAATATACCTATTATCCCAGCAGCTTTGGAGGCTGAGGCAGGAGGATCTCAAGTTTGAGGCCAGCATCAGCAATTTGGTGAGACCCTGGTATTAAAAAATAAAAAGGACTGGGTATGTAGGTCAGTGAGAGGGCGCCCCTGGACTCAATTGTCAGTGCAAAAAAAGGTTTGTTGTAATAGGCTTAGAAGAAGCCATGGGGACAAGTCCATGCAAACAGATGGCACAGACATGATTATCATTACCAAACAGGAAAACAGGCAGCTGTTGCCAAAGTCAGCTGCTCCTCTTGGTTCCCATGACCAACACTAGGTATGTTCACACATTACCTGTACCAGAGCCCTTTGAAGTGCTCAGTTGTGAGGAAAACCTGTAGTTACCTCAGTTGACATCACCCTCTTATATTTCCAGGTCCAAATGCTTACCTTGTGATCTAAAAGGAACCCTCTAATTTTCCTCAGTCATTATACTCACTTCTGTCAAATAACTGAGGCTTTTGCTCCCCACAACAAGTTAGGGAACCTGAGAACATGCAGCAGAGTGTGCTCTGCTTCCCTGAAGTGGGCTGGCTGTCCCTCCTCTACCTGTGGGAGGCGCGAGGGTTTGGCCCCCACACCCTTCTTTCCTGGTTAGCTGAACACAGCCATTCAAGATAGGATCCCTGAAGCTAAGGTGGCATTTGTTTGGGGCAGTACTGAATCAAACCTAGGGCCTGGCGCCCGCTAGGCAAGCACTTCTGCTGGGCTACTTCCCAGCCTTGGTGCTAGTTTTTGTTCCCAAGCAACATCTGTTGTTTTTTAGCACTGGCCATTTGGGAAGGCAGGGCTCAAAACTGCCCCGTTGAGTCAGGCTCAGTGGTGCTGCTGTGATCCCAGGAGTCAGGAGGCAGAGGCATTAGCCGGCAAGTTCCAGGCCAGCCTCAGTAATTTAAGGAGTCCCTGTCTCAAAATACTTGGTGGGTTGGGGGGAGGCTAGAGATGTAGCTCATGAGCACCCCCAGCTTCAGTCCCCAGTACTGCAAAAAAATAACAATAAAGCTGCCACACTTTCATTCCCAGATCCTCCTGTCCTCCCCAACCATCAAATGAACTTGGTCACATTTTGCTACAGCAGGCTTTGGAAGATGTGGGTCAGAGGCCTGTCAAATGACTAGTCTGCATTTGGCCCTAGCTGTACTATGAGTTCCTTCAAGTTGCTTCTAGTTCTGTCCAAACCATCCTGTTTCTCTACAGGGAATTTTCTCCCACTATCTCTGCCTCTATGCTCTGCTTTTCTCCTCCACCAACTCCTGAACTAATATATAAGCAATGAGCTTTGACCCCATGCAAAACTCTTGCTCAACATTCTAAGAGTACCCTTGCCCATTGTTTCTGTTCATGTGAGGTAACAATCCCTCTGGATGAATAGGCTTGCTTTATTTTTTCTTTCTCTTCTTTTTTTTAAACTTGATTCAATAATTTGAACTTTCCATTCAGGAGGAATTTAAAGCATTTTCTGTTAATACGACATTCTGGATCTGAATTTTTTCAAACACCAATGTTTACTGAGTACCTGGTACACTCAAGGCCCCGTGCTGTGCACTGAGTGTGTTCAATAAATATTTACTGTCTTAATTTGATTTCCCTGAAACCCAAACTGAACTTTCTCACTGTTGTGAGAACAGGGACAAATTCCAGTGAGATGCTTTGAGTCTCAGCTAAAAGCTGTCAAATGATAATGCAGGCTTTATTTTGATTGACTTTAAATCATCTTAATTAAAATGTCATCACCTAATAAACTGGAAACCCAGGGGGGGCTGGAGACTCTTCTTCATTTTTTGTGCCAGATGTTCTGCCAAATTTCCATGGAAGAGTTGAGCTTAGAGTTACTCAGTAACCACAGGAGGAGTTTGGCTCTGGTTTCTTGACAAGGGCTTACTCTGTGATCCAAATAAAATAATACATCGGCCCAGAATATGAGGCAACTGGCAAGGACCAGCTAAATGACCTACTCACAGGAGTTACACTGAGGCAGGTGGCAGACCAGGAAAGAGGTCTCACTGACCTTGAAAGAAACTCTGGACATGAGGGTGACCAAGTTCTCATTCTTTTTTCTTCAAGGCTTCTCAAACCAACCCCCAACAGCAGAGCCCAGGGAGACTGTGCTCCTTCCAACCTGGTTTCCACTCATAACAGAGAAAAATAGTCCCACAGCTCTGTTAACTTTGTGATTTGGGGCAAGTAATAAACCTAGCAAACAGCAGTTTCTCGTCTGTAAGCCGGGCATCGTAATATCTTCCTGGTAGAGCTCATGAGAGAGCTTTAGAAGGCAATGTATGTGAGGCATTTAGCATAGATACTGATATGTGCTTTAAAATAGCACCTGTCAGCCAAGCATGGTGGCACATACTTGTATTCAAAGCTACTTGGGAGGCTGAAGCAGGGGGATAGCAAGTCTGAGGCCAGCATCAACAACATAGCACGACCCTACTGCAAAAAAAAAGGCGGGGGGGTGTGGATGTAGCTAGCTCAGCAACTGAGGGTCCCTGGGTTCAATCCCCAGTGCTACCTTAAAAATAAAATAGCACCTATCATTGCAATATCATTGCTAAATACTCAAAAGAGTTTGACCTAAACTAATACCTAACAAAG